TCCGGCCGGCCGGCCGAACCGGACGGACCGGTTCCGACCGGCCGTCGTTTCCGGACGGCTTTCTTGCCGTCCGGCCGGCCGGTCCGGACAGCAACGGTCCGTCCGGCCGTGCTTTCCGGCCGGTATTACTTGTCGTCCGGCCGGCCGGTCCGGACGGCTTTTAGTCCGTCCGGTTCCGGCGTCCGGACGGCTTTTAGCCCGTCCGGAACCGGCGACCGTACACGTATTTTTTCGTACCTCCGAATTTGACGACATTTCACCGTACACTTTCCTCTGAGATGTTTAGAAAAAATGAGAAGGGCAAAATTGTCCAAGGGGGGCGGTGACTAGTAAAATGGGGGGCGGTGAATAACAACACCCAAAATAATATATGAAAAAATGTTATTCTCTTCTCTCCAAAATAATCCACCCACGTGAGAAACTCTTCAAAGTCCAACCCAATTCCAACTCCTTTTTTCCTCAGCCACTCACAAGAGTCCAAAGGCAATTGAATTCCCCCTTCTCGGTCAACCACAATTGATATAACATTTATAAAAGTCCACTCTTTTCAAAACGAGTCATGCTGCATGTGTTTTGGCCATACAAAATTACAAGTCACATCCGTGCCACTTAATTTGCCACCTCACCAATAGCCAATATCATCAAATAGTCTTTCAACTGCAAAATAGACATAAAATCCAAATATTGGTGTATGTCCGTTCACAAGATAAAATACGTGATAAAACTTGTATATTACACTAAAACTAAATATTCCATATATAAATTAAACCCCAAAATAATACAAGATTTCTCACGTATCAGTAGTAGTGGTGAGCAAGGGTCGATCCCACGAGGAGTGTGAACCAAATTGTCAATTTTCTCGTGATAATTGAAATTATAAAAAGCGATAAATGGAGGGGTTATAATTTAATAACTAAATTACCTAAAATTCTAATGAAATAAATAAAATCTAAACAATGAAATAAAATAAAAATAAAATATAATAAATAAAGAGAAAATCTAGTTCTCGATTCCGTCTACACTCTCGACCGATTCATCTAATCAATTCTGGTATCAAATCTCGTTATCTTATGGAATTACTAGCCCTAGGTAACAACATGCTTTACTACCTGAATTTTTCCTTACTTTTAATTTAACCATGAGACGCTCTACGATTAAACCTGACTTCTTGTGCAGTCTAGGACACTCTCTCTAAATTTAATACAGTTAGCCGCTTTAGGATCTAAAAAAATAGGCTAGTCTAAGTAGTGAATCCAACCGCGTGGTTCACTTAAATAGGCCGTGTTATCCTCGGTAGTTACCATCTTCCGGTTGCTCTTATGAATAAAACTCAACAGCAATAATGGATTGCAAGTTCAATTCTTGCATTAGACACGAAAATCTTATCTGAGTGATCAATCTAAATAAAATCAAACACATCATGGTTGCTCAGTCAAAATAACACAAACAATTTCAAAAAGATAATTAAACTATCAACCACGAAAATTAATCAAACATCATCAAGTCGTAGGGTTCGACATTCCCAAAACTAGAAATAAAATCTACTCTAACATAATAAATAAAAAGAAAAAGAGAAGAATAAAGTTATCCTTCTCATGTGTGGGTGCGGTCTCTCTCCGCAATTTAATCGACTTCCTCCCGTATCCTCTGTCCGTGTGCTCTGTTCTGCTTCATTTTCTTTTCTCTGCGTAAAAATAATTCTCACAGGCTGCGTGTCCCCTCTATTATGCGTGGCGGCTGTAGCTGTGTGGTGGCTTTTCTTGAAAAAATAATTCCCATCCAAATATTAGTCTTAGCCAATCAAATTTCCAAGACCAAAGTCCTTTCGGAAAGCAACTACTCTTCACAATATAATAATCCTTAGGAGCACCCACAATGCTTTGGGTCTCTTCTAAAAAATTCGCATGCCATGTAAGAAATAGACGTAGTCTATAAAAAAGTACTTCACAATACAATTAAAAATGAACTTGATCTAGCTTACTCTTGGGTCTATTTTGGACCCAAGTGTGAACCTGTACAATCAGCAATTAAATTCACATTTTTATTTACGCCTGTTTTTATTGGTTGATATGTGTTCTAGACCTAGTGTTTTATTTTTGCATTGGAAAGCTCTTAGATTTTTTTTACTTGAGTTTGTCCATGTCATTCATAACCTAAGTCCAATTATATGCCACATATACAAAAAGAGACCCAAAGCATTGTGGATGCTCTAAATGTCCAGTCCACTTCTTATTCTTTTCCTTCCAGTGCGTGACTCACCTCAACTAGTGGATAAGTGGGATGGACTTTATTTCTTAAGCTTGGCTCAGCCGTAAATGACCCAGTATTGATCTATTAATAGTGGCTCACGAAAACTTCGGAATATGCTGAAAAATAACACATAAAATATCAAAGTACATAAATGAATCTAAATAATAAATAAGTCAAAACATATAAACATGCGGATAAATTAAGTATATAAAAATACACTATTAAATATAAAGAACATGCACATCTTTCGACCTATCATTAAGAGAGGTACTCGTTATATTTCGTGTTTGATAAATTGCATTATTACATTCTAACGTTATTTTATTTTATTTTATTTTTTGTTGTATGTTTCTCTCTTTTCATGAAGTGTTGTCGGTCAGTGGCTAATTAACAAGAAAACTTGAATTCTAGAGCAGCGGTACACCATCAACAATAAAATGTGAATGAAGATGTCGTTTTCTCAAACGGTTCATTTATCTCAAAACTAGAATGATATGTATTTTTAAATAAAAAGTACTATAATCACTATATTTTTGTTATTAATATTTGTCATGTGTTTGTTGCAGTTTACAACTACTCCAAGAAGATGAGATTAATGCTATTTCAAGAGAAATGCAAGATAATTATNTGTGAATTGTTATTTATATAGAGCAAAGTCATTTTCAATGCATCATTTTCTGTTTTAAGTTAATATGTGCTCAATATTTACCATCATATCATTCTTGTTATGTACACGTGATAATAGAAACAAATTTTGTGTAAGGCATGAGCACAAACATAAGACATGGCCACGCCTTAATAATATTTGTTCATGTTTTCTGGGTGCTATTTTTAAAAAATAATCATTCTTCAATTACTATTTAATACTAAAATTATTTGCGCTTTAATTTTGACCATTAGAGTTTGATGTTGAATTATGCATATTGGAAAGTGGAAAGCTACGGCTTATTCTATTAAAACAAAAGTCAGCCTACAGTTAGTGGCGGAATTTTGTTTACGAAAATGAGAAAAAGTTTACGAAAATGAGAAAACAAATTAATTCTTAATTGTTAGATTAAAACTTACTTAAGGGATATTAATTAACAGTTGGGGCTGCTCCCCCGGGACCCCTTCTTCGATCAGTGGCCAAAAGAGAACATTTCAAATTGATCCACAATTTTTTAGTTTAAGATTTGAGGAATCTGCTTAATTTTGAATTTGAGGTTGAGGAATGTGCTGAGTTTTGATTTAGGGCACAAATATGATTTTTATCGAATATAAAAGAAGATGAGATGTGACATTTTAATTTCTCGTTTCTTATTTTTAAAAACCACATGTTTGTCACGTAAGAAATCATCTGCCGGTTTCTGTTTGACATGCTTCGATTTGCTAAATGTCTAAAGATGGTGTATTTATTTACAAATTTTGAAAGGTGGTGATTAAATTGCAAAAGGTGGTGATTAAATTGCAAAAAGTTGAAAGGGGTATATTTTGGTTTAATTTTTTTTGAATGATATGTTTAATAAATTAATTAAATTATTCTTGTAAACTGATTTTACCAGCGCACAGAGAGCTGGATTTGCGAAAATGGTGTCTACAGGTAAACTTCCTTTTCCAAAAATGTTGAAAGCGGAAGTGTAAACCCTATACCCATCACGCTGTAAGGAACAAAAATGTTTTCGACCCCTTCTAAGAAATCCTCCTTCAGTGCCCGCAACAATGTCGCTAACCGGAGAGACGACGATTCCACTCCGGTGGCCGGCAACCGGAGACCACTGCTCGACAGCCCAGCCGTCCCAAACCTCCCCGCCACTGGGAACCCCGCCCCTTGGTTCTCTTGCCCTTCCGTCCTCGCTAGGTAGTACCTCTCTTCCGTGCTTATGCTCTGTCATTCTCTGTCATTTTTCCTTGACATATACTTTTTTTGGAGTAGAACAAAAGGAAATGAGAAGAGATTTTGTAGGGTATGGATGCTCATACATCTTTGGATAAGGATACTAATTGAACTGTAACGCTGTGGGTGACTGAGCTGAGTCGAGTAGTTTTATTTGTGTGCGTCTTGTTTGTTTGTTTTTTCTTATGTTTAGCTTTTGGTCTTCCAATCACATATTGCAACTTTTGTGGTTTTGTTCCAGTAGATAACTTTGAACCCAAGAATATCTGCATTAGCTTCTATTTGTTTGTTTGTAGGTTAATGTTTACAGTTGAGAGACACTATAAAAGCTTAAGCACCAGTTCTATAAAGATTATCATGGAAAATCCATATCCTGACCAAGTTTTCTTGTAGGCAGAGTCACCTTTCACACTTCAGAGCCACTTTCCTAAAGTTTTTCTACACTATTCTACTGCAATTTTTGGTTCAGTATTAACCTTACAAACCCTTGCTAGTTAGGTTTTGCTGTATTTAGCTCCAGAATTCTGAATTTGAAGCTTTCCCGGTTTTAAACTTTAATATAGATAATAAAGGAGACATTTGTGATCCATTAGGACCTGTTCCTTTTATGATGAATATTTGTATAAAGATTGATATTGAATCTTCTCCTCATATATTGGGAAGAAACAAGGACCTTGATGTCTAGTAATTAACCTTTGGACCCTGTTTTTTAACGAACCCAAAATCTCGCTGGCCAAGAGAAGTTTCAGAGGATATGACGTCAAACCTGTCTATGTTGGGGAGTTCCCTCAAGTTTTACGTATCGCACAAATGACAGTTCAGAATTATGGTCATGGTTTGTCCAGTAAAGTTTTATTCTGGAAACATATTATTGTTAGATTAATTTTCAATTGTTTTTTCATTTATTAATTTTTATATATATAATATTTCTAATACTAGTTCGTGTGGCAGCTGATGCATCTATTTCTGGTGGAATGGACAAGGAGACATCCCTAGCATGGATCATACGTGGAAACGGTCTCTGTATCTGGGACTTCTTATCATCTGCTGCATCAAGAAAATGTATCAACATTGACCTAACGTCTGTTAAAGAAGAAATTGGAGATGTGACCAGAAACTCATTTCGACCTAACAATTGGTTAGTCCGTTTTGTCAACTGGGACAGCTTGAAGAAAGCTGGTAGCATCACTGTCCAACAGCTCAATTCTGCTGGGATTATATTGTGTAACAAAAAAATTGGTGCTCTACTTTTCTGGCCTGATATCTCAAATCCTGATATGATGCTTCCATCCACGTCTCGTGCCTTTTCCGACAAGCTGGGCAATAATGCTGCAATATCATGTTATATTAACTCTTTGATAACTTCACCTGTCTCGTCTACCAACAAAAGTTGTATTGCACTTGCATGTTGTTCTAATAGTGAACTTTGGAGATTCTTCTGTAGCCCTTCTGGTATTCAATGTGAACAGATTGAGCACGGCATGCCAAATAAATTATCTGAAGGAAGTGGTGATGATTCATCTGTGGCAAGTAAAGGCTATCCTAGGTCACTGATTTGGCAGTTTCCTAGTCATTCATCGGATGACACTGCAAAACAGTTCCTTCTGCTAACTAATCACGAGATACAGTGCTATGCAGTAAAGCTTTCCTCCGATTTAGATGTGGTAAAGCTTTGGACTCATGAAATCACCGGCGTTGATGGTGATTTGGATATACCGAAAAACCTTGCTGGCCAAAAGAGGATTTGGCCCCTTGGTTTGGCTGTTGATAGCGTTGGCAAGGTAATAACTGTTCTAATTGCCATCTTTTGCAAGGATCGGGTGACCAGTTCAAGCTACACTGAGTATTCCCTTCTGACCATGCAATACAAATCTGGAGTAGATACACCGAAGCCAATAGGCAAACAGATTATTATACCTAAAGCTATAGTAGGGGATGAGGAACTTTTGTTCTCAATGAGATTAAAGGTAGGTGGAAAGCCGCCTGGTTCTGCTATTATACTCTCAGGTGATGGTACTGCAACTGTTTCCTACTGTTGGAGAAACTCCACCAAGCTTTACCAGTTTCATTTGCCCAATGATGCTGGAAAAGTTCTTGATGCTTCAGTAATCCCTTCCCTTGAGGAAAGTGAAGATGGAGCTTGGGTTGTGCTCACTGAAAGTGACAGGCAACGAGCGGGTTTAACCGGAGGTACACATCGTGACCCTCACGACGTGGCATCGGAATATTTACTAAGCCAGTTTTTCGATGAATTTCTCTTGTCTGGACAGGTTGATGATGTCCTTGATAAATTGAAAAATTCAAGGGCTTTTGAAAGAGAGGGAGAGAGAAATGTATTTGCCAGGATGAGCAAATCAATTGTTGACACCTTAGCTAAACACTGGACGACAACCAGGGGATCTGAGATTCCTCTATCTGTTGTGTCCACTCAACTAGTTGATAAGCAACAAAAGCATCAGAGGTTTCTTCAGTTCCTTGCTTTGTCCAAATGCCATGAGGAATTGTGTCACCGACAGAGTATGATCATTTTAATTATTTAGATTATGTTATGTTGCCTTTTTTTTTTTCCCAATTTCATACTGCTTTTCTTTTATATTTCTGAAATTCTCTCTCTCCCTCTCTCTGTGATTTCTGATGATGTTTTGATGTTTACTCTCTGACCAGGACAATCTATGCAAATTATCATGGAACATGGGGAAAAGCTTGCCAGCATGATTCAACTGAGAGAACTTCTAAATGCAACTAGCCATGCTACCGAGTCTGGGGTTGGCTCCTATTATGACTCAGATGCTCGGACTTCAGTCAGTTGGTGAGAGGTCCCGCCGGAATACAGTTCTTTTGATGGATAGAGATAATGCTGAAGTATTCTTTAGTAAGGTCTCAGAGCTCGAGGAACTGTTTCATTGCTTAGAGGGAAACCTAGAACATATAATCACCCAAAATAAGCCTATTATTCTGCAATCTCAAAGAGCTTGTGAACTTGCAAATGCATGTGTTACAATCTTCTGTACAGCCATTGACTATAGGGCTGATCACCACTTGTGGTACCCTCCACCCGAGGGATTGACACCGTGGTATTCTAATTTTCTTGTGTGGAGTAATCTTGCATCATTCATGCTTCAATTGCTTAGTGGAAGAGAACGGCTTAAAGTTTCTGTCATACTAGATTTTTACTCGAATCTTGTAGTACTCTCGGAGATACTACTCGATTCATATTCTAATGCTATCACAGCAAAAGTCGATCGGAAAGAAGATCATCGAAGTCTGTTAGAGGAGTACTCAAAATGTAGAGATACCCTTCTCGACCCCCTTTATAAGCAAGTGAAATATTTCAAACAGGCGAAGTTACAGGTAACTACTTTGAATTAATTTTTTATTGTGGCGTCATATGAGGTTTCAGAACTGACAAAATGGTCGAATACATATTTCACAATATAATTTTATCCCTTCAATTTAATTTATCCTCCTACACCTTCTCTAATAGTAAACATTTTCACTGGCGTTATGTAGCATCCCAGCTCATATATTTTGCTTTTATTTGCGATTCGTTTGTTGATTTATTTGGATGCATCTATAATCGTTACCTGTTTTGCCGTGGCAGGATTCACCTGAGGGAAATGAGGAATTGAATAAGGATACTCTGATGACATTTTCTTCAAAGTTATTGTCAATTGCAAAACGCCATGAGGGCTATCAGACTATGTGGAACATATGCTATGACCTCAACGATTTCGAACTCCTCCATGAGTCTCATGTCGTACCACAAGCCCATTGCTTGCAGAAGACAAATTTTGTCTCTTGACCCCACTATATATAATGCCTTTGATGCGTCATTTTGTTATTAAAAAGCTGCTCATTTTTTTTTTTTTCATACGAGCTTTTAATAAGAATAGTAATTTGAACTTCTGTTTTGCAGCATGAAAACATCGGACCAAAAGGAGGTTTCAGTTGCTTTGTATTCAAACAACTCTATGATAGTAAACAACTCTCAAAACTAATGCGGCTGGGTGAAGAGTTTCTTGACGAGCTTGCTACAATTCTGAGGCAGCATCCCGATCTTCTTTGGCTTCACCAGTTGTTTCTTCGTCAATTTTCCTCAGCTTCTGAAACTTTACATGCATTATCTAATTTATCTCTTCCTAAGGATAACAGATCAGTTTCAGATACTGATGAGACTGAACCTAGTGGCCCACAACCTAAATTAACTTTGGCTAGAAGAAATCATTTTTTGAATCTCGCAAAACTATCAGCAATGGCAGGTACTGGCTATCCTGCTGTAATATGCTACAAATTCTTATGATTGTGATTGCTCTTTGGCTGTGTGATCTATATTAAGAATTGTGCCCTCCAAAACGAAGTATCGAATAGGGTATTTAGGGTTTCCTTTAATCATATAATACAATGCCCTAGAGGAAATTTAAGAAGTCCAAAATTTGTGGTAGATGCAATGTCATCACCCTTTGTTTCTGGTAGAAGGATGTAATACTTAATTTTTTGGTGTCCTTTATCATTTTTTACCATGTTTGCACCTGAAATGGTGATACCAATCTGTGAATCTGTCAGGAAGAGAAGTTGGCGACGAGCTAAAGGTGAAGCGTATTGAAGCTGATCTGAATTTTCTACAAGTGCAGGTATTTAGTCCAATTCACATGTTTGTTTTGTTAACTGACATGGAGAAGAAAAAAAAATTGACGACACCAATATGTTGGGATGTAGGTTATCTATATTGTTTCTCATATTTTGTAAACATGCCTAATTACTTGAGCCAAATAATCGGAATAATATTTTCTCTGGACTAACGTTGTCGTTTACTCTTAAAGGAAGAAATAATGAGGCTTCTACACAATGACGATGACAAGCAATTTATGGTGCAACAGCTTCTTGATCCGCAGGATCTCATCAAAATGTGTCTTGGAATCAAGAAGCGGGAGCTTTCTTTGCGACCCTTCGATATATTCTTGTGGATGAGTGCGTCCTTTCTCGGATGCTACGCAATTGTTTTGGTGGAGTGCTGGATAAATGCTGCAAGTCAAGATGATTGGAAGAGACTGTATGGCTTGTCCATGACTGAGGGCTGGAGTGACGAGAGAACCTCTGAGGTTCTCGAGCAAACTGTACTTTTTCATGCTGCCAGAAAATGTTATGGGCCCCGCTCAAAAAAATTTTATGTGAAATTCGATGAGGTGCTGCCATTGAGGACGGAAACGGATAAACTCTGGTCTGTGGAAGAAGCCATCACGATCCACAAGGATTATCGAGATGCGGGCAAGCTGATGCTGACCGCTATCCTGTTCGGGAGCGTTTGACCAAGGGCCTTATATCATGGAGTGCAGATAGTTTCTATCTCAGGTTGTCTTGTTGTTGGTTCTTGTGTCAGAAGTTGGATTTGGGCTTTTTTGATACCCAACCTTTGCAGATTAGATGGCTATTGATAGTTTGATAGTGGTTGGGTGTAAGGTTTGTGTGTGCAACACCGAAGGAGAAAAAAATGAAAAATATTTTACCCTTTTCAGTCTAAAATTTCTGTTTCTATAAAGTTTGATGTGATTAAACATAGGGCGAATTTATTTTACACTCCAATATATACATATATTTTACATCAAAAAACTTTTGACTGTATGTCGAGACATCAGTCGGGATTGGGAGTTCATACATATATTTATAGTACATGTTAAGCTGCTCTAACAAGCGAGCTTCACGTACCGAAAGATCTAACAAATATGCAACTAAATGTGTATCAGGAATAAAATAATAATATTTTAACCATTTTTTTAACATTTCTTCAACTAAATAGCCATATTTATTAAAATTCAAGTCGTGAAGATCCTTAAATGTCCACATTATGGCTATAGCTTAACTTAACACAAGCTGAGCAATAGGATAATAAACACCTGAAAGGATGTTAGTAGCATTTTGAAATGTTTATAAAAATTGAATATGTGCATTATAGTTCTCCCAATCTCTTGTTGACACTCGGACATCACAGTCCACCGGTTAGGAACGTCGGGTTAAAATTTTTTAGGTTTCAACCCTTGATCTTTACAAAATCGTCCCCATGCTTTCATTTCATGGGGACGTTTATGTAAATAATTAACAGCGTTCCTAATTGGCGTGACCGAATCTTTAAAAGCATGATAACCAGCTTGTACACAGAGATTTAAGACATGACATATACAACGAATATGAAAAAATCTTTCGCCGCAAATGGGAGGGCAAATATCGGTAAATTCACGTATAGATGCAGTATTTGCAGTAGCATTATCAAGCGAAATGGAAATCACTTTTTTACTTATTTGATATTTATCCAAAATTTTTGAAATTAAACGAGCAATATTAAAAGCAGTGTGTCGTTCATGAAATGCAACATAAGAAATTAAACGTTTTTGTAAACTCTAATTTTCATCTATCCAATGACAAGTAATTCCCAAATAGAAGTTATTTTGCCAATGATCAGACCAGATATTAGTACAAATGGATACTCTATGATTTAAAGATTTAAAAGTTTCTTGCAAAATTAATTTTTTTTCAGCCACTATTTTTCGAATATCGCGAGTAAGAGTAGTACGTGGAACCCGGTGGGCAGCCAGATTCAAAGCCATTTGAGCAAAATGTTCATATAAATCACTATCACCAAAACTAAACGGAAGAGATGAAGCAGAAACAAATTCAACTAAATGACGTCTATGATTTTCATGTGAGTACTGAAATAAAGATGGCGTACCTGTACCAGTCGTGGCAGATGCAGCGCTACTACTAGGAAATTGCGTCTATGTCGCGTCAATTCCAAATTTTGTCGGATGACAACTCTGTAAGTGTCGTTTCAAGGATCCGTACCTGTCGCCTTTTTTGAAATGGTACCTCTTCTTGTCGTTGATCGGGCAGTAGTTGCAAACAGCAAAAAAGTGATTCTCACCTCTTTCCGGACTGGCCTCCTTTGTGTAATGTTGTTTGAACATGGCAGATCTCGGTCTGCCACGGGTGAAGACAGCCGGGTCCGGGTCCGGCTGCTGCGTCGGTTGTTGAACCTCCAGCGGGGACGCTCCAAATATATCATCGAAATGGTCGTGATACAGCTGCTGCTGCTCTTGTTGCTCAAGATGAATTGAGCCAAACATGCGCTCGATCGTCGACATGTATCGATGGACTCGCAAATTCCGGCAATGGAGGTCTCGAGAAAGACGTGTCGGTGCCGATATTTCTACGTTTACGTCCGGAATTTGAACCACGACCACCACGAGAGCTCGATATTTTTTAATTTAAAGAATAAAAAATAAATTGGGAAAAATTAATATAGAATATGATGAAATAAAAAACAATGGGGAGATGTGGTATTTTTTATTTATTTTTGGATTTTTTATTTTTATTTTTATTTTCGGATTTTTTTTTTTT